TCAGTGATCCATTCGGACAATTTTGAATCCTATCCCTATGACCCTGATTGAGTTCTGAGGGAATGGGGTGTCTTTGTGCCTAGTGGATGTTTCCACTAAGGAGCATTGTCACCTTTCAAATCAACTGAAACCTGAAAACTGCCTCTGGCCATTTTAGTCTCTTCATGCCATTGAACCAATATGCAGGGAAATGTGTCCCTCTACTTGAAGAGACTTCCCAATTTCTACAAGGTAGTTTGGTGTCTGCCATACAATGGAGGTTAAAAAACAAAACAAAAACCACTACTCATGCAGGGAAGTCTCTAAATGTTTTTTTAACCACAAGCCATGGTCAATTAAAAATTGTGACAATGGGCGGGGCACAGTGGCTCACGCCTGTAACCCCAGCACTTTGGGAGGCCGAGGTGGGTGGATCACGAGGTCAAGAGATGAGACCATCCTGGTCAACATGGTGAAACCCCGTCTCTACTAAAAATACAAAAAATTAGCTGGGCATGGTGGTGCGTGCCTGTAGTCCCAGCTACTCAGGAGGCTGAGGCAGGAGAATTGCCTGAACCCAGGAGGCGGAGGTTGCGGTGAGCCGAGATCGCGCCATTGCACTCCAGCCTGGGTAACAAGAGTGAAACTCCGTCTCAAAAAAGAAAAAAAAAATTGTGACAATGGAATAAATAACAAGACCATAAGGATACAGATCCCACAGGAATAAAGGCATATTTTATAGTACCATGTAAAGAATCCAGCCGACATGCTGACACAGGTCAGGATAACAAGCAATAACTTTTATTTTTATGTATGTATTTTTGAGATAGGGTCTCACCTCATTGCCCAGGCCACAGTGCAGTGGAATGATCCTGGCTCACTGCAGTCTCAACCTCCCGGGCTCAGGTGATTCTCCTACCTCAGCCTCTCTGGTATTGGGACTACAGGTATGTGCCACTAAGCCTCACTAATTTTTCGTATTTTCTGTAGAGATAAAATCTCGGCATTTTGCCCAGTCTCATGAAATCCTGAGTTCAAGTGATCTGCTCCCCTCAGCCTCCCAAAGTGCTGGGAACACAGGCCGGGGCCCCCACGCCTGGCCCACTTCCCTGTGTGTGTGTGTGTGCGCGCGCGCCTGGCCCACTTTCCTGTGTGTGTGTGTGTGTGTGTGTGTGTGTGTGTGTGTTTGTTTAAAGGTTCACTCTCCTCTCCTTTGAGCCTCAAATATTCATTCTGAAATATCTGCAGTACGGGGCAAAGCTGGATTATTTCCCAGTACAGGAAAAGTGAAGAGATTTGCTGAATTTGGAGTAGGGAAAGTCAGGGGAAGAATCTCCCATTTCCTTTGTAATTGTTTTCTATCATCTTCCATGTGCAATGATTGAGGCATTTAAAAGTCTTACAGGAATATGTCAAATTAATAAACACTTTTAGAAAGTCTGTAAATTTTCTTATTTCTCTAAAAAGAAAACACACCCCTTTAAATTCCCTGATGAAAGTAAAAGAGCCACCGGGCACGGTGGCGCATGCCTGTAATCCCGGTACCTTGGGAGGCCAAGGCTGGAAACCGAGGCGGAGGTTGCAGTGAGCCGAGATCGCGCCATTGCACTCCGATCTGGGCAAAAAGAACAAAATTCCGTCTCAAAAAAAAAAAAAAAAAAAGCAAAAAAGCAATACCATCTATGTATGGTAAAGTCAGTCTCACAAATACCTTAACATTGATATTTATATTCATGTTAGCAGGTCATAGACATAGAAATACACCGCCCAGATCCTCCTTTAGGGAAGGACTTGCGGCCCAGCTGCAGAGAGCACAGTTAGCAGACAGACACCAGCTGTCAGCTTCTTCCATGTCTGCCTCAGCTGCAGAGCTCCTCCCCACCCAAGGCAGCCTCCTTCCCCAGGGCAGTCCTCATTCAGTCACCTACAAAGGGGTTAAAAAGGGTGGTCTAGAGCCCCTCTGGCCTAATGTGGGCGCAACTTGACAGGCATACTGGCTCCAGAGCTCTCCGCTGGGTTGGTTGAGCATTTTTCTGGCCTGTATCAGGTTGACATTTTCCTCTGCGCGATGCTATTTCCTTCACCCCTTCACAGATACTGATCCTTAATATAACATTTTGCATTCCAAACGTCATCTCAGCATCTCTTTATGGAAAACCCACGTGTCACTACATTACAATTTCTCTTTCTGCATTTTATTTTATTGATTTTTTATTTTTTAAGACGGAGTTTCGCTCTTGTTACCCAGGCTGGAGTGCAATGGCGCGATCTCGGCTCACCGCAACCTCTGCCCCCTGGGTTCAGGCAATTCTCCTGCCTCAGCCTCCTGAGTAGCTGGGATTACAGGCACGCACCACCATGCCCAGCTAATTTTTTGTATTTTTAGTTGAGACGGGGTTTCACCATGTTGACCGGGATGGTCTCGATCTCTTGACCTCGTGATCCACCCGCCTCGGCCTCCCAAAGTGCATTTTATTTTTTAATCGGGCCTCTGTATTAAAGGCTGGGAGTAGCAAACAAATCTCTGTGTATTGAATTATAAACTATGTCCTCTTAAATCTCTGTGAACTACAGAAAGTTAATACTATTTTTTGGTGTTCTTTTAGGTGGCTTAAATTCAGAGAGGAAAAAATAAAGATGTATGCATGTAATATTTTAAATAATATATATTCTATCCCCAGAGGGATAGAGATCGTAAAGGAGCCCTCCATTTTATATAGGAGACGAGCAAAAATTACCTCTTTAAATGTGTTACTTGATCAGAGACCTACATAGACTGAAAAAAAGTGAGACAGGAGCTATCAGGGGAAGAGGGAATTGAAGGTGCAAAGGCCTTAAGACAGAAAATGTGTTTGGCATTTTGTGGGAATAGACAGAAAGCCCTGAGGCTATAAAATAAAAGCCAGAAAGTAATATCAAGTGGGGGGAGGAGAGGAGAAACTCACAGGGCTTCCTAGGGAACGTAGATTAATGTGGACAAGCAATAAAAACCAATAGCAATCCTGATCTAATAAACCTGTTAACACAAATTAGCAAGGCAGAAAAAGCTATGCTGTACCCTAAGCTACTGGAAGAATGCCATACATGTGCTCCAAAGAAATAGGACTAAGTATTTACCAACGTGGGGTTCAGGAAATTCTGCGTCCCATATTCTGCCTTCAGGATCCAATTCTAATGCAAATGGATTACTAGATTTTTGTCACCTGGGTAAAGTTAGACAACTGAAGAATCAGGCTACCCTTTCCCAGTACTTTTCAAGAACAGTACTTAAAATTGCAAAATTAGCCTTTAAAACGTGTTGAGCATATTACATGTTTATGGCTGTTTAACAACACTATTAATGTAATAGAATTATTACACTGGAGGCCAGGCCTGGTGGCTCACGCCTGTAATCCCAGCACTTTGGGAGGCCAAGGCTGGTGAATCACCTGAGATCAGGAGTTCCAGCAGGCTGGCCAACATGGTGAAACCCCATCTCTACTTAAAATACAAAAAACTAGCCAGGTGTGGTGGTGAGTGCCTGTAGTGCCAGGTACCCGGGAGGCTGAGACAGAATGGCTTGAACATGGGAGGTGGAGATCCTAGTGAGCCAAGATCGCGCCACTGCACTCCAGCCTAGGCGACAGAGTGAGACTGTCTCAAAAAGAAAAAAAAAAAAACCATTACACTGGAATTAGAACAGATTTCAGACTTGATGTTTGACTTCAGTTGTTGCCTGTAGGGTACGTTGGGAGCCAGATGTAGGGCTGATGGCCCCACAGCGTCGTGGGGTGAGACTTACGCTGTGCTGAGGCGCAGGATCCGAGAAATAAAGAGACAGGACACAGAAGTAGAAAAAAAACAAAGCTGGGCTCAGGGGGCCACGCCACCTATAAACAGTCAGGTGAGGCCCTGAATGTCCAGAAGCGTATTTATCGTGTATAGGTTAGGGGGCAGGGCAGTGGGTGAAATCATCTCTAAGGATAGTGATAGGGTCGTTAGCAATAAAACATGGGGTCCACCTCCATTAGGTCACCTAGGCCAGGAGGTGGACAATGCACAGCAAGGGGCCCGTTCCCACGAAGGCAAGGGCCGTGCGCACTAAGGGTCCACCCCCATTAGGTCACCGAGGTATGAAGGTGGGCCATGCTCAGTGTGCAATACTTCTATCTATGGTCAAACTACTTCTAAGAAGATTTATAGGAGGATGCTTTAAGTCACACAGCAGTGACAGAGCTGTCAGGGTTACCGCCACCTGCTGGCAGCTTCCAATGGGTTCTATGGGAAGATGCTTTTGAAGCAGCACAGTAGCAAGAGCTGATAAAGTTCAGTCACAAGGTGCATTACCGGTCTGAGGGCCGCCTTCTGCAAGAACTGGAGCAAGGTCCTACAACTCCTTTATCAGGAGGAGTGGCTCTCGCCCCAAGCCTGCCATACAGCGGGTATCTCTACGATACTGACCGCTGCCGCCTGGGCCATGGATTCTTGTCCTGGCATAACTGTTTTCCCTTAAATCATGCTCTGCGCTGTTTCTGCTCTAGGCATTCCTCCGATTATAAGCTGCCTATTCCTTAATTCATGCTCTGTACTGTGTGCACTGTAGGCATTCCTCCGATTATGAACTAAGATATATTTATAGGTATATGTAGGGAAATATTCTTTAGACACTCATACTACTAACTATATTATATATAGAGGATAATATAAAGGGACTCGTCAAGCCCTAATTCTATAAAGGATTATATAAAAGGAAATAGCTGAGTAGTAACACTATAAAGTCAGATATTCCTCAAGGCCTAACTATGCCAGGGTTCTGCTTAGCTCTCATTCCTCGGTGCCGATATGGGGAGTTACCCACAGTTGCCCGTGCTAAGTTTCTCCCGTGTATTCTACACTAACTTGTGGGTCTCCACTACCTTTCAGTGGATGTGAGTTGCTGCAGCCCAACCCCGAAAAAAGCGCTTTACAATGTGATCATGGAATGAGACAAAGGCAAAGTGAAACCAACAGGACTGTGCCCAGCTTTTTCTAGGACAGGGTAAAGTGGCTCTGAAAAGAGCCTTTGTTCTTTCGCTTTCACAATCTCGCTCCTCACTTGGCCTTGTGGTGACCCTCGGTCTTCTTGGGCAGCAGCACGGCCTGGATGTTGGGCAGGACGCCGCCCTGCGCGATGGTGACCTTGCCCAGCAGCTTGTTGAGCTCCTCGTCGTTGCGGATGGCCAGCTGCAGGTGGCGCGGGATGATGCGGGTCTTCTTGTTGTCGCGGGCCGCGTTGCCCGCCAGCTCCAGGATCTCGGCCGTCAGGTACTCCAGCACCGCCGCCAGGTAGACCGGCGCGCCGGCCCCGACCCGCTCGGCGTAGTTGCCCTTGCGCAGCAGGCGGTGCACGCGGCCCACGGGGAACTGGAGCCCGGCCCGGGAGGAGCGGGTTTTGGCCTTGGCGCGGGCTTTGCCGCCCTGCTTTCCGCGTCCAGACATAGCGACCACAACTTAAAGCAGCTGGCATAGTGAGCGCGCAAAAGCAGCGCTTTTTATAAACACTATTGGGCGCGAAAAAAAAGATGTATCATTGGTTAGGATTGCAGCTTAATGTTAACCAATGGCAGTGCGTCTCTTGGACTTACACCTCCTGATTGGATATAACTAACATCTGACGTCACACTGAAAAACCACCAATCAGATAGAGGACTTTAACTCTCCACCTAATTTGCATGAGAGGTTCTATATAAAAGCGACTCCTTCTCCCTTGGTTCCGTTATTTCCCGTTTCCTCCAACTAGCTGCTGATCGTTTCGTACTTTGGTTCGCCTTCGACATGCCTGAGCCAGCGAAGTCCGCTCCCGCCCCGAAGAAGGGCTCCAAGAAGGCGGTGACCAAGGCGCAGAAGAAGGACGGCAAGAAGCGCAAGCGCAGCCGCAAGGAGAGCTACTCCGTGTACGTGTACAAGGTGCTGAAGCAGGTGCACCCCGACACCGGCATCTCCTCCAAGGCCATGGGGATCATGAACTCCTTCGTCAACGACATCTTCGAGCGCATCGCGGGCGAGGCTTCCCGCCTGGCGCATTACAACAAGCGCTCGACCATCACCTCCAGGGAGATCCAGACGGCCGTGCGCCTGCTGCTGCCTGGGGAGCTGGCCAAGCACGCCGTGTCGGAGGGCACCAAGGCCGTCACCAAGTACACCAGCGCTAAGTAAACTTGCCAAGTAAGCGTCTTAAAGCCCAACCCAAAGGCTCTTTTAAGAGCCACTTAAATTGCCGATATTAGAGCTGCAAACACGTGTTTCTAATCCAGATTTAAATTTGGGCGGTCTCTTTAAAGGGATTACTATGACCTCATTACGCTGAGTAATGCGCACAGTGCTTGTAATGGAGTCTGGCTAAAGTGAAAGCACATGGACTTTGCTAGCACTGGGTAAGGAATATGGCGGCTAAAAAATCGGGGATGTGCAGGAAACTTGTTAACAGAAAGTGCTTCCTGACTCTAGGCGCGAAAATAGATACTTCCGTTGTGTCGAGTGCTGTGGCTTCCTGTTAGGACTTGTTGAAAGCCTATTGTGTCACGTGTACTTTCCACCATTTAAAGGAATTCTAACTTGGCTTTAGAAGTAAATTTGGTTTCCAATAACCTTCCAGAATGTATGGTTTTCAGCCAGCAGTTATCTTTTTTTAATTTTTATTTTTTTTAGAGCAGAGTTGCTCTGTCTCCCAGGCTGGAGTGCAGTGGCGCGGTCTCGCCTCTGCAACTTCCGCCTCCCAGGTTCAAGCGATTTTCCTGCCTCAGGCTCCCGAGTAGCTGGGACCAGAGGCCCGCCACCAGCCTGGCCAGTTTTTCGTGTTTTTAGTAGTATTAGCCAGAATAGTCGCCATCTCCTGACCTCGAGGTCTGCCAGCCTCAACTTCCCAAAGTGGTGGGATTACAGGCGTTAACCACCGAGCCCGGCCTGGCAGTTACCTTATTTAACCCCTTCTAGGCTGTACCCAGTTTTGTGTTGCTTGCTTTCCCCTCCCCTTCGTTTCCACCTCTCCAGCCCACAAGACGTCGAGAAAATGCCCGACCACCAAGCAGGATAGTCTGCAAGGGTAAGGGGAGGAGCATACCTTTTCTCATCAGTGAAGAAAAGGAACTTGAGAGATTACCAAGATTTTTTGAATCGTTTACTAGTTTTTAAAACATTCAGCGTTAATTGGTTCAAGCAGTAATTTTTCTTTTTGTCAAACAAGAAAGCTGTAGAACAGAACTTTGAAAAGGAAAAGCAACTGGATTCAGAGGGGAGACAGACCCCTGGGAGCAGAAGTTTGAGTAGAGGGGAAAGGAACTGGCCCAGGCTCAGGGTCTGAGCAGAGTTAGGTGGGTGAGTTTAATTGTGTGGAGGCTGGAATGGCTATTTATGCCGGTGCCACCCAGTGTGAAACATTTTGGAAGAATGGAGTGAAAGGAAAGGTCCAGGAATTTTAATCTAGGTTGTCACCTGGCTAAGTTTGTGATTTAGAAATGTAAGCCAGTTTCACAGGGAAATTTTCAATGTATATGCCTGTGTACATATTTGTCATATTTGGCCACACATTGTTCTAATCTTTGGGGATATTGCCCACCCTTTGAAGTGCATTTGGAGATTAGCAGAGTCATATTGTAACACTTCATACATACAAAACATGTTCACTGTTCATCTGTCATCCTACCAGCGATTTGGGGGTTACATTAATATTTTAAGATGTTTCAACAAGTAATCATATTTAGTTTACCTATATAGGAGGCACTGATCTATACATGCGATATATTAGTTCGTTTAATCTTCAAATAATTCTGTGGATAGGTATAGACATTTTCATATGTGAAAAATAAAGTACAACAAAGATGTGGAAGAAATAACATCATTTTCAAAGAAAAGTGAGCAAGGATGTAGGCAGAGGGAATAAATCAGAAGTGAAGGGAAGTGATGGTATAATTTGTGTTTATTGCAGAAGTTTCCCAAGCAGGACATCCTTCAGTCACTTTTCTGCCCTTGACTTAATTTTCATAGACAGTAAAAATCATATAATTCCTTGGCTGATGTTAAGTAGCTGACAAGAGAAAATTGTGCCAGTATAGTGCCTCTGCCTATTCAGTTTAATTAATTTAGTTATTTTTGAGATGAGGTCTCACTCTGTTGCCCAAACTGGAGTGCAGTGGCATAATCTCGTCTCGTTGCAACCTCTGCCTCGTGAGTTAAAGCAATTCTCCTGCCTCAGCCTCCTGAGTAGCTGAGATTATAGGTGTGTAACACACGCCCGCCTAATTTTTGTAGTTTTAGTAGAGACAAAATTTCATCATATTGGCTAGGCTGGTCTCGAACTCCTGACCTCAGATGATCCACCTACCTCGTCCTTTCAAAGTGCCTAAAAATATTTTATTTTTATTTATTTTTATTTTTTGAGATGGAGTCTCGCTCTATTGCCAGGCTGGAATGCAGTAGCGCAATCTCGGCTCACTGCAAGTTCCGTTTTCCGGTTTGAAGCAATTCTGCCTTAGCCTCCACAGTTGCTGGGACTACAGGCATGCACCACCACGCCTGGCTAATTTTGTGTGTGTGTTTTTAGTAGAGACGGGGTTTCACCATGTTGGCCAGGATGGTCTTGATCTCTTGACCTCGTGCTCTGCCCACGTCAGCCTCCCAAAGTGCTGGGATTGCAGGCGTGGGCTACTGCACCCGGCCGATGTTATTTTTTAAAAGTTGAGAAGTTTAAGAAAAAAAATACTAGCATACATGTTCTTTAAAAAGTATTCTAGGCTCCAGCTACGCAGGACTTTTGGTAGTTTGTCTAAAGCACACCATGCCTGAATGGGCCCAGTGGCTCATACCTTTAATCCCATCATTTTGGGAGGCTGAGGTGGGTGAATTATGAGGTCAGGAGTTCGAGACCAGCCTGGCCAAGCTGATGAAACCATCTCTACAAGAAATAGAAAAAAATTAGCCAGATGTGGTGGCAGATGCCTGTAATCCCAGCTGCTCCAGAGGTTGACACATGAGAATCACTTCAACGTGGGAGGTGAAGGTCAAAGTGAGCTGAGATCTCACCATTGCACTCCAGCCTGGGTTCTGTCCTCCTGGAAGAATAAAAATTAAAGGTTTGGGTCATAGTATATAACATTTGTGAATTAGTTATTTGATTTGGCCTGTATTTTGCCATTTTCAAATAAGGGTAATAAAATCTTATCTGACAATAATAGGAGACAGGAGATAATCCATGTAAATCACGTCTTCTCTTGGCTTGCTCTTAATGCTACTCTTATAGCTATTTCAGAAAAGCCTGACTCTCCAGTTCAAGCCAAATCAGGAAATAAGCAGCCTAAATTGTCGGGATCCGGCACGTCTGCCGGGGGCTACCGACCTGCGGGAGTCCCCGAGACCGCCAACGTAGATGTCTCGTTCAACCTGAGACAGAGAGTGCGCGGAAGAGAAAGAATATAGAAAAGCATAGTCTGGAGGGCTGTGTGAAGATTATGGTCAAAACGCAGCAAATTTATTCTTGTGGGTTACAGCTTTTATACCTTTGTTCTTGTTTACATTTACTTTATCCCAGTAGAAAGAAAAAAGAAGGGGTAGACAGAAAGGAAATAGAAACTCCATAAAAAATAGTTATCAGGGGCTTGTGATAGTAGTTTACATTTCAAAGATTTTACATTTCAAAGATACAATGGCGCCCTTAAGGTGGCTGGTTAAACCTGTTTTTCACCAGGAGCTAAAACAAAGGCTTGGCTCCAGGGAAAATATGGGCGGAGGTCTCTGCTCCTCTCAGGCATCTCAATTGCAGCAAGTTTATTGCTTACACAGAGACTGAAGTGGACATGGAAGTGGACAGCACAATGTCCTCATAAACTGCAGGCCTTTGCTTTGCATTCTGTTGTTGCTTTTAGTGACTCAGCTCGCGGCCCTTTGTCTCACTCGACAGCCCTCGAGGTGGGGAAATGCAGACAGGTCCAGCAGCCAAACTGGGGCGAGTCAACTAGCTGTCTGGAGCCCTTGGCGCGAACACCACACTAAATATTTTTTTTCAGATTGATGCCTGCAGCTCCTGGGGAGAGTGGAAGGCAGATAATTCCTATATGAAAAGGCAGCACTCAAAAACTATAAAAAATATAAACTCAACATTATTAAAATGTTGTACATCAAAAGGTATTGCAAACACTTGAAAATGAACCCACAAGGTGACAAAACAAATTTGTCACTTACTGACAAAAGGTTAAACTTCAAATATATAAACAGTACTTAGTGGAGAGAATCTGAATAGACCGTTCCCAGAAAAGTGGGAAAATCTCCAAATAGCCAACAATCTCATTTAAAAAAAAAACAAAACAAAAAACCTGACATTAGCAAATGCTGATGAACAAGAACTCTCAAGCCCCATTGGTGGAATATGAGAGTGTAAATTTAAAATACTACCCTGGAAAGCAAATTGTTTAATTTTGTTGATGTTGAATATGCACATACTCTTACCAAACAATCCCACTTCATGAAATTGGAATTCCAGAAAATGCACAGCTGTGTACAGTGCTGTTGTACTGTTTTGTAATCAGGAAAAGAAAAAAAAAAAAAAAACCAAATGAATAAAGTATTTACTGACACATTGGAAAACTAGATTAATGGTGAAAATAAACTAAAACTGCACATTTCAACATGGATATTTCAAAAGCAAATGTAAAAAAAATTCATGGAGACATTTAAAATAGATTAGGTGTATGCACATCTAAAGTTAAAAATAAAATGTATGGGAACAAAATGCCAAATTCCGAATATTAATTCTAGAATGGTGGAAGAGGAAGGCTGTCCTGCTGAGAAGGGACATAAGGAGGGACTTTAACTGTACTTGTTGAATAAGTAGCGTGGTCACTGGCACGTTGTGTGTGCCTGATAAATTTCCAGTACTTAAAAATAGTACCAGAAGACAAGCATATAAAAGGAGGGAACTATTACTGAGAGTGAAACTGCTGTGTTCTACAGTAGTAAATAAGGTGTGATCTGTCCCCAGTGCGCAGAGCTCTGTGCCACCCAAGTCCTCTTAAACCAGCCACCACGAAGTTTTTCTAGAGGCTCCAGCCTTTAGTGGAGCCCCTCAAAACTCTCATCTCTTCCCGAGACATTTTAAGGTCCAGAGGAATGTTAAGTGTGTAGCCTGGCCTTAATTTAGACTCCAAACTCCTTGACTTTCTAAATGAATCCGAGCAGTAAACGGGCTGCAGGCAACTTCCAAGCGGCCGCCAGAAGTTACTGGCCAGGAGAGGCTCTTCTGGCCTTGGAAAATATTGGCCCAGGGTCGCCTGTCCGTTTTCAACATCCCCTGTAAAGCAGGATGGGAGAACTCAGTGACAATGGCTCTATTCAGAAACTCATTTTGCAGTCATTTCAACTCTTGTTGAAAGCTTGGGGGCCCTAAAAAGGGCCTTTTTAGTGAATGACAGGGCTTTAAAATGTCATTTAGCCGCCGAAGCTGTAGAGGGTGCGGCCCTGGCGCTTGAGCGCTTAGACCACGTCCATGGCGGTGACCGTCTTGCGCTTGGCGTGCTCCGTGTAGGTGACGGCGTCCCAGATCACGTTCTCCAGGAACCCCTTGAGCACCCCGCGGGTCTCCTCGTAGATGAGGCCGGAGATGCGCTTCACGCTGCCGCGGCGAGCCAGGCGCCGGATGGCGGGCTTGGTGATGCCCTGGATGTTGTCGCGCAGCACCTTGCGGTGGCGCTTGGCGCCGCCTTTCCCCAGACCCTTCCCGCCTTTGCCGCGTCCTGACATTATCAAGTGGTCAGAGAATAAAGATCTGCCTGTGCTGGCAGCTTTCTTTTAGCGGTAACCTCTGCGGACCAGACTGAAAACCGGAAAAGCTTTGGCGGGAAGTCCCTCTGCGTTGGGGGAGGGGACCTAAAAGGGAAACAGGCCTGCTGCGCTCTACTTCTTTTGTTCTCTTTTCAGTCCTTTTTAATCCTCAGGACCTAGGTTATTTTTCTTTTTCCATTTAACATGATTCCTGCCTCATCCTCGTTCGACAACAAAATGTTAACATTATAGAAGATACATAAAGCAGAAAGTAACATTTTATCTCTACATATATACATGTTTTAACACCATTTCTATGGAACTATGCTATTTTGTGGCATTTTTCTCCTTAATATACCATGGAGATATACTCCATATTCCAAATTCTTAGCAATAGAACAAGATGGATTCAAAATTTAAAGATCGTTCAGCTATACTGCTAAGTTCTCTTCTACTTATTTTCATTTCCAGTGTTTAGGGTGGAGAATTATCCCCCCCAAATACCGAGCTTGAAAATGCGGAGTGCTTTTGAAAATTGAAGATTCTCAGAAATAAGTCTAAGAATCAAGATCATCTAGCTTTGTCTTGTTTCTCTTCCCCAAATGCAGGGAGGGACCTTTTCTGGAATTTCCTGATCTGATCAAGAAAGCTTCTTACCAAAAAAAAAAAAAAAGCACAATTGCTTTCCGTTACCTCATTATCTACTGCAGAAAAGAAGACTGAGGAATGCAACCGCACCTGGATGGACTTTTCCACAAGATAAAGCTGGCCTCTTGGTCTCATTCAGCTTTCAAAGAGAATCATTTACAAGTTAATTTCTGTCTCCCTGCTTCATTCCTTCTCATTTATAATCATTCACTGTTCCTCAAATAATTGTATACATTATCCATCTCCTCTTTTGCCTCTGAGAAAGGGTATTTAAGCTTCTGTACCCCACCGAGGGGCTGGAGTAATCATTCTGTGGTCCCCAGCCCTGGACATTAATAAATTTGCATGCCTTTTCTCTTATTAGTCTCCTCTTGTCAGCCGGTCTGCAGTGAACTTTCAAAGGGAAAAAGGGAGGTTTTACCTTGGCCCCTATACCAACAGCAGTTCCTGATAAATAATCTAACCGTTCTGGTATCATTTCATTTCTTGTATGTAGAAATAGCTGTTCAAAAAGTTAATCAGCTGGTTAGTCAGTACAATACATTCAATATTTCCCCCACGATTTGAGGAACTTATATTGAATATTTTGTTTCTTGAGTTACTGTTATTCTACTGATCAGACTCTATATAGTGCAGACATAGTATAACTATTTGTAACATTGAAAACTATTTTAGTATCTGATGTAATTCCCACTTTATAACCTTTTTTTTTTTTTGAGATGCAGTCTTGCTCTTGTTGCCCAGGCTGGAGGGCAATGGTGTGATCTTGGCTCACTGCCACCTCTGCTTCAGCCTCCCAGGTAGCTGGGTTTATAGGTGCCTGCCACGACACCATGTCGGGGTCCGGCACGTCTGCCGGGGGACTACCGACCTGCGGGAGTCCCCGAGACCGCCAACGTAGATGTCTCGTTCAACCTGAGAGAGAGAGTGCGCGGAAAAGAAAGAATATAGAAAGGTAGAGTCTGGAGGGCTGCGTGAAGATTATGGCCAAAACGCAGCAAATTTATTTTTGTGGGTTACAGCTTTTATACCTTTTGTCTTGTTTACATTTACCTCATCTCAGCAGAAAGAAACAAAGGGGAAAACAGAAAGGAAACAGAAACTCCATAAAATAGATATCCGGGGCTTGTGATATCCTGCTCAGGAAGCAGTTTAAGGGGGCTAGTGGTAGTAGTTTACATTTCAATGATTTTACATTCCAAAGATACAATGGCGCCCTTAAGGTGGCTGGTTAAACCTGTTTTTCACCAGGAGCTAAAACAAAGGCTTGGCTCCAGGGAAAATATGGGCAGAGGTCTCTTGTCCCTCTTAGGCATCTCAATTGCAGCAAGTTTATTGCTTACACAGAGACTGAAGGGGGACATGGAAGCAGACAGCACAATGTCCTCATAAACTGCAGGCCTTTGCTTTGCATTCTGTTGCTTTTAGTGAGTCAGCTCACGGCCCTGTCTCACTCCACAGCCCTCGAGGTGAGGAAATGCAGACAGGTCCAGCAGCCAAACTGGGCAAGTCATGAGCCCTTGGCGCGAACACCACAACACCAGCTAAGTTTTTTGTGTTTTTCGTAGAGACAGGGTTTCATGATGTTGGCCAGTCTGGTCTCAAACTCCCGAAAACTCAGGTGATCTGCCCACCTTGGCATCCCAAAGTGCTGGGATTACAGGCATTAGCCACTATACTGACCTTTTTTTTTTTTAAAGACAGTCTCTGTCACCCAGGTTGGACTGCAGTAATGCATATAATATCACTGCAACCTCTTTCTCCCGGGTTCAAGCTGTTTTCGTGCCTCAGCCTCTAGAGTAGCTGTAAGTACAGGTGTATGCCACCATGTCCAGTTAATTTTTTTGTATTTTTAGTAGAGACAGGGTTTCACCATTTTGGCCAGGCTGGTCTTGAACTCCTGACCTCGAGTGATCTGCCCACCTCAGCCTCCCAAAGTGCTAGGATTACAGGAGTGAGCCACTGCACCGGGCCCCACTTCATAATTCTTTTTTTTTTTTTCAAAAAATTTCTGCTATCACTATTCTTGAAAATTACAAGTTATCTAGTTAGCCAAGAAATCCTCTTACAACTTCGGTTAGTTTTATATGTTTATTAAAGTTCTCCCAATCTGAAAAATACAAAATCTCTCCATCAGAAAATGTTTAAAACTTGCTTTAATTTTGCCCAAGTGCAGTGGCTCACACCTGTAATCCCTGCACTTTGGGAGGCCGAGATGGGGGCATCACTTGAGGTCAGGAGTTGAAGAGCAGCCTGGACAACATGGTGAAACTGTTTGTACTAAAAAATACAAAAATTAGCCAGGTGTGGTGGCACACACCTGTAATCCCAGCTACTCGGGAGGATGAGGGAAGCTGAGGCAGGAGAATCACTTGAACAGAAGAGGCAGAGGTTGTGGGGAGCTGAGATCACACCACTGCACTCCAGCCTGGGCAACAGAGTGAGTCTGTGTAAAAAATAAAAAGCATTTTCAGTAATGAACAAATAGAAAATTCAAATGCAAGAAAGGGAGTATACTTTCATCTTTCTAAGAAAACTTTCATTAAAAGCATATATACTTCAAATATTTTGGCTTACATACATGGGATTAAAAAAATACAGTACAGACCATTTCTTAAGCTCCAAGAAAATGTAATAACGTCTTTTGGCACTGGCATGTAATCGTGTTATTCAGTGATTTTCTTTCTACTCTTTATTTCAATGAGTTACTTGCAGCAATGCTTGAAGCATTTTCAAAGTGTTACACTTAAATGTCAAAAAAATGAAGATAAACATTTCATTAAAATACTTCAAAATTTTTTGTATTTATGTTGCAATACAAACAGACCATACATCTTTGGAAAACAAAATTGATTTGATTGGCTGTAAATGGCTGTAGCTGAATTCAGTATGTTGTAAAGAGGGTAAGGTAGCATAGGTTAATTGAATATGTTAACCTAAGGGTAAATACAAATTGAAAATAAGAGGCTTAATTATCTGTTGAAAAGAGACTCCACTTTCAAAATTTCTCTGTCCTTTTAAAATGTATGTAATTGTTTTTAATGGCTAAATAGGCCTTAAAACTCAGTATTTCCTCAAGGCCTGTAGAGCCATCTCTTTGATATGTTACTCACTAAAAAAATAGTGCTCTGTCTCCCAGTTTCCAGCCAGGAAATGGTCCAAATTTTGGCTCTCACCTGACTTCAAATTGCAAAACCTACCCAATGTAGTTACATCTAATAGAAAAGCATTTCTTTCTGCTTTTGCAACCTCTTCATAAGATTGCCCGTGATAAGCAACTCACTCTGGTTTAATGCTTATTCACTAATAAAATTATTTCATTTCTCTTCTTTGGGAGATTTAAAAATTACATTTCCCCAACATTAGTTAACAAATACATTTCTCTACTTGAGCTTCTCACCAATCAGAAACCTCCTTCTGTACCTGATTTCACCAGTTTTCACATAGCTGTTTGTGACAGGGATAGCAATGCTATCCCAGAATATGCCATTTTGGAATAAGAATTATTTTGAAATAAAGGCAATTTAAAAAAGAGTAGATACAAGAAACTTTGACCTTTCCCTTTTACCTCCTGAAAACATGAATTAAAATTCCCGTTTGGAAGATGTCCTCCCTGTACCAAAAGGAAAAGAACCTTTCATCAAGGACAGGAAGGTGAAACCAAGAGAATTCTGTACAAGCAGATCTCAGTAAAATCATTCCTGTTTTCCGTTAGCCTCCCTACACAGTTGCATTTCCACACTTTACTCTGTTCAACTTACTATATAAACACTTAGGTTTTGCAACTTCTTTGAGATCTATGATCAGAGCTCTCATGTCCTCTGCCACCTAAAACATATATTAAATCACTTTATATGCTTTTCTTCTGTTAATCTCTCTTACGTTCGTTTAATTATCAGGCCAAGCCATAAAAACTCTTAAGAGAGTAAAGGTAAAATTTTGCCTACCCTACAAGGGATATTTGAGAGTTTGTCAGATTCTTTAGTTTCTGAAATTGAGGTAAATTTGTTCTGAAATTGATAGTAAACATACACACACACAGTATAACATTTTTGAAAATGTGATGCTAATCAGTCTCTTTTATTTTTTGTTTTTGAGACAGAGTTTCACTTTCATTGCCCAGGCTGGAGTGTAATGGTGTGATCTCGGCTGACAGCAACTTCTGCCTCCCAGGTTTAAGCGATTCTCCTGCTTCAGCCTCCTGAGTAGCTGGGATTACAGGCATGAGCCACCATACTGGGCTAATTTTGTATTTTTAGTAGAGAGGGGAGTTTCTCCATGTTGGTCAGGCTGGTCTCAAACTCCTGGCCTCAAGGTGATTGACCTGCCTCAGCCTCCCAAAGTGCTGGGATTACGGGCATTAGCCACCGCACCCAGCCTATCAGTCTTTTTTAGCAGGGTAACTATCAAGATAAACTTAGTTAAAATCGAGTTACTCTGAGTTCTCACTTTCTTTCACATTACAAAACAAATCTGGCAGCAAACTTTATTATGTCAGAGGCGTTTCCATCTTGAATAGAAGCTGGGTAAAATGGGCTGAGGCCTACTGGGCTGCATTCCCAGAAGATAAGGACATTTTAGTCACAGAATGAGATTCGCAAAGACCTTGCTAATAAAAGCATGAGGTAAAGGAGTCGGTGGAAACCTACCAAAATTAAGACGGCGATGCAACCGACCTCTGGTCATCCTCACTGCTCATTAGATGCTAATTATAATACATTAGCATGCTAAAAGACACTCCCACCGGTGCCGTGACAGTACAGATTGATGGCAAGTCCGGAAGTTACCCTATACGGTCTAAAAAGGGGAGGAACCCTCAGTTGGCGAATTGCCCACCTCTTTCCCAGGAAAACTCATGAAGAATCTGCCCTTGTTCAGCATATAATCAAGAAATAACTATAAATATCCTTATAACAGAAAAAAAGAACAATTTTTTTTACTTCTCTAATAAACTGTGTTTCACAGTAGTCTATGGATTTGCCTCGAACTCTTTCTTGAGAGGGACTCAAGAACCCTCTCTTGGGGTCTGGATTTGGATCCCTTCCAGTAACGGTTACCCTTGCAATATACCACGTGTCCAACCACTGTACATTTGATAAATTTATTAAATATTAATTTAAATAAGTTGAAAGACCTTTAAAGACAGAACAATTGAAAAACGAGTAAAATGTCCCTGCAACATGCATAAAAGAAAAATTTTAAAAAATAAGTAAAATTATTAGGGGTTTCACAGTATAAAAATCCATCAAAAAGCCAAGTATTTTACTATTTTGGAGGCCTCTCAAGGACCTATCTTTCCGAGATATTGTCAGCACTGTTTCTGTTCCAAAACATCATATTTATACGAGGATTGGTAGTTATATTTTAAGTACAAGAAATAGAAACAATACAAGGGTGTGAGGTGTCAACAGGCTAAGTGCTAAAAAATTCCAAATAGGAAGAGGAGGTTTCCAGAGAAAAGGAGCTGAAAAGAAATGGGGTAGGTCAACCAACTTTTAGGACAAGGGTTTTTAACCTGAGGCCCATACTTATATGTCACAACGCCCCTAAAGATAAAATTCAGCAATTAGGCCGGGTGCGGTGGCTCACGCCTGTAATCCCAGCACTTTGGGAGGCCGAGGCGGGTGGATCACGAGGTCAAGAGATCGAGACCATCTTGGTCAACACGGTGAAACCCCGTCTCTACTAAAAATACAAAAAATTAGCTGGGCATGGTGGCGCGTGCCTGTAATCCCAGCTACTCAGGAGGCTGAGGCAGGAGAATTGCCTGAACCCAGGAGGCGGAGGTTGCGGTGAGCCGAGATGGCGCCATTGCACTCCAGCCTGGGTAACAAGAGCGAAACTCCGTCTCAAAAAAAAAAAAAAAAAAAATCAGCAATTAGGGAGTGGTGAAGGAGAAGTCTGTTTGGGCAGTAAAATATCTATGTTTAAAAAAATAACCTTGACTGAATGTGAACATTTCACTTTCTTATGAATTTAGGCCACAAATTTCAATACCTGTTACTTTGTAATCCAAAAGACATTCGATGTTTCATTTATCGTTACAATTGCTGAGTTACCTTGAAACATTTATAGGCATCTAATTAGTAACAGCAGTTATCCTCACCAAATCATAAAATGTGTCAACTATATTAACAACACAAGTATACAGGCTCACTTATCACTATCAAATTTTAAAAATACTTTGAACACTGTAATTTAACTTTGTTTGGCATTTTATACACTGAAAACATCATTCTGAGATTTTCCATGTTACCAGACGGCGGAAAGTGTCTGCAATACACAAGAAGAACGACTTACGTCCTTTTCTTGAGATTACATCAGAGTTCAGTGAGCAGAGGTAGGAGGCAAGACTGTGCAATCTTGGCATGGGTATTCCTTATTTCGATACAACACCGAAAGTTATTTACAGTATCACACTAAATAACCCTCCTCCACAGAAAGCTGCCAGTCTTGCTAGGAGGCCTCAGTTTGTGTCAGAATCCCCCAACACCCTGTACTTGTCTGATGGTCATAAACAGGCCTTTGATGAACCATATTGTCACCTGTATTTTCCCCTCTCTGTGAGGCAGACATTTTAACAGTCTGAATGCCAACACTTTACCTCAAATTTGATGGGTTTTAAGGTTTATTAGAAATAACTATCCTGTCAAGTTCTTCTAGCAACTTGGGATTTTAGACCTTTCTGAACATGAGAAATCTTTCGTCCCAATGTTGTACTTCATTGTAAAGGCATACTTTGCAAGGTGCAGTGCGGCGGGTAAGAGAATGCTTGACATCTATCCATCAGGAAAGACGCGAGGCTCTGAATGTCACAAAGTTCTGCAGCCTTGCTCTCCTGCAGCGGCGCCACCGCCGAGCTCTCGCAGGAGCGTCAGTCACCTTGCTCGGAGTTCTGGTAGCGCCGGGCCTCGCGCAGGGTCACCGTGCTGGGCACGCAGCGGGGTGGCTCCTTCATGCCGCCCTTGACCTGCGTGAAGCAGCGGCCTGCTAAATTCCAGCCAGGGCGATAACTCTTTTGAACCAAACTGCTTCAAGAACTCACAAAGCCGGCCGGGCGAGGTGGTTCACGCCTGTAATCCCAGCACTTTGGGAGGCCGAGGCGGGTGGATCACGAGGTCAACAGATCGAGACCATACTGGTCAACATGGTGAAACCCCGTCTCTACTAAAAAAAAAAAAATACAAAAAATTAGCTGGGCATGGTGGCGCGTGCCTGTAATCCCAGCTACTCAGGAGGCTGAGGCAGGAGAATTGCCTGAACCCAGGAGGCGGAGGTTGCGGTGAGCCGAGATCGCGCCATTGCACTCCAGCCTGGGTAACAAGAGCGAAACTCCGTCTCAAAAAAAAAAAAAAAAAAAAACTCACAAAGCCACTGGTGCCCTGTGAACACACACTAAGTTTAAAATTAAGTAGTGGCCTAATGGATCTGAATGTATCTGTTCAGGTAACTCTGCTGCGCGGTAGAATCTCATACGTGGTAGAACCCTGACCACCTTCCCTCCAGTCTTCCTTAGGAATCTGCAGTGTTCGCTCCATTGTTTTCAAGAAGGATGAGGATGAGCAACTTCTGACCAAAGTTTTACCATGCCTTTTTCTTTCACATAAAACATTAGCAAATGTTAAGTTCTTTTAGAGAAGACGTGGGTGGCCCTGAAAAGAGCCTTTGGTTTGGACTCGATTTTATTCGAGTTGCCACAAACTAGTCCAGGTAGTTACTTGCCCTTGGCCTTGTGGTGGCTCTCGGTCTTCTTGGGCAGCAGCACGGCCTGGATGTTGGGCAGGACGCCGCCCTGCGCGATGGTGACCTTGCCCAGCAGCTTGTTGAGCTCCTCGTCGTTGCGGATGGCCAGCTGCAGGTGGCGCGGGATGATGCGGGTCTTCTTGTTGTCGCGGGCCGCGTTGCCCGCCAGCTCCAGGATCTCGGCCGTCAGGTACTCCAGCACCGCCGCCAGGTAGACCGGCGCGCCGGCCCCGACCCGCTCGGCGTAGTTGCCCTTGCGGAGCAGGCGGTGCACGCGGCCCACGGGGAACTGGAGCCCGGCCCGGGAGGAGCGGGTCTTGGCCTTGGCGCGGGCTTTGCCGCCCTGCTTTCCGCGTCCGGACATGGCGACAGAAAACAACCAGGCAAGAAAGTACAGAAAGTGAAAGGCGGCGCTTTTTATAAACACTATTGGGCGCGAAAAGGAAGACGTGTTGCTGGTTAGGATTGAAGTTTAACTTCAACCAATGGCAGTGCGTCTTCTGGATTTGCGACTCCTGAGTGGTCAGAACTGACCGCTGACGTTTCGCTGAATAACTACCAATCAGAAACAAGACTTGAACTCTTCGCCTTATTTGCATAAAGGAGTCTATATAAAATCGTCGTGTCATACCTCGCTCATACTCTTTTTCTTGGGCGCTTTTTAGCTAGTCTGAGCGATGCCAGAGCCAGCGAAGTCCGCTCCCGCCCCGAAGAAGGGCTCCAAGAAGGCGGTGACCAAGGCGCAGAAGAAAGACGGCAAGAAGCGCAAGCGCAGCCGCAAGGAGAGCTACTCCATCTACGTGTACAAGGTGCTGAAGCAGGTGCACCCCGACACCGGCATCTCCTCCAAGGCCATGGGGATCATGAACTCCTTCGTCAACGACATCTTCGAGCGCATCGCGGGCGAGGCTTCCCGCCTGGCGCATTACAACAAGCGCTCGACCATCACCTCCAGGGAGATCCAGACGGCCGTGCGCCTGCTGCTACCTGGGGAGCTGGCCAAGCACGCCGTGTCGGAGGGCACCAAGGCCGTCACCAAGTACACCAGCGCTAAATAGTGAGTTGGTTGCAAACTCAATCATAACGGCTCTTTTAAGAGCCACCCATTTTCTCAAAGAGAGAGCTGGTGCTTGTATTTCTGTGCCGGCCATTGTAACTCGCTATTGTGTTTCTTTTTATCTTTTTAAGAGAGGAGGTTTCACCATGTTGGCCAGGCTGGTCTCGAACTCCCCACCTCAACTGATCCGCCTGCCTCGACCTCCCAAAGTGCTAGGGTTACAGGCATGAGCCACCATGCCCGGTGCTACTGTGTTTCATAAGTCTGAAGTAGAGCAGTTATTTAGCAGTAGGGTCGTTATTGAACAGTCGTTAATGACCTTTCCTGCCAAGGTAAGCTGGAGATATGCTAGCGACTACAAATGTGACGTATCTGACCCTGGTAAGACCCTGATCTTTTTATTGCCTAAGAATGTTCTATTCTCATCCCCTTAGGGTTAACTAAGGAGATGGGAGATTTTCTATTATAAGTTCGAAGCAAATTAAAATTCTTGCCGGTCACCCATTGGATAATGGTTGGACTAGTGTCCAGTTGCAGGGGTTGTCAGTTTGAATTTGCCCGGGAAGCGCCTGCCCTTCCTGTCGGCATCCTGACTGGTTGCTGTATCTAGGAAGTCCATGGTAGGCTTGCGTGCGCCAGAGGAATCCAATCCTCGCCTTTATTTGGCCCTCCCTATGAACTGTAATCTATCACTTTCTCATTCTTAATGCTTTCGGGAAGATTTATTTCCTCTCAATTTTAGTTGGCTAGAACAGAATTTGTTTTTTATTTTTATTTACTTATTTTTTTGAGATGGAGCCTCGCTCTGGCCCAGACCAGAGTGCAGTGGCGCGATCTCAGCCTCCCCCTCCCGTGTTCCAGCGATTCCTCCTGTTTCAGCCTTCTGGATAGCTGGGATTACAGGCATGCACCACTACATCTGGCTAATTTTTGTCTTTTTAGTAGAGACAGAGTTTCACCATGTTGGCCAGGCTGTTCTCGGACTCCTGAAGTCTTGCATGTCATTGTTTACTTTTTCTGGAAGGAGAGTGACTTAAGATACTGATCTAAACTGGATGTGTGCATGGCTAATGGTTTGGATAGAAAAGAGATTTTAAGTAGGCAAAAGTGGCGGTTGTGTTGACAAGTTTTGGGGAACAGTGATGTGGATGAATTTCCCAGAATGGTCCCAGATTATGAGAATGATATCCCACATGAATGCTAACCAAAGTTCCCACTCTTCAGAGGAGGCTGTCGACAATCAGGTACACATCAACCACATGGCTGTCACATAGTCGCTTTTCCTATCACCCCACTTACTGCCCAAGTGATTTATTTGTAAACCATGTGACCAGGGTGGCATTCAGTGGGAGAGGACATACTTCAGCTCTGTAGTATAGACTTAGCTCACCAAGACTGACCTGGATACTGATGCTAAATGTCCCATATGGCAGGGGAAGTTTTCTTGCAAGTATTTTGTCATGAATGAGGCAGGGATTTGTCTTTACTGAGACAAACACTACATTTGGGTATTGTTCACTTTCTTACATGCTATGGCTAGCTGGACCCGCTGTGAACTTACTGAACACTTCATACCTCATAGCTCACATTTTTTGGACCCATTTCTATACATTGTACACAACAGGAAAGGCAATGCATGGATGACCATGGGACTCAGCAGTCCTCATGCGGACCGTATTTCTTACCAGCAGAGGTCTCAATTTTTGGAAGATTTAGTTAAAGTGGCAGGTAGTCATTCAGCACCCTCCTGGAGTGCCACTCAATTCTGGATGTTGTATATGTGCTGAACAGTGACTAAGAATAGGCATAATTTCTTCTGTAGCCAAAATGCATTGGTTAAAGAAAGGAGAGGTAGAAACATAGTAGTGCTCTTACTACACTTAATAATGAGCTGAAAAAAGTTATGCTTTCCACGTTTGCAATTCAGGGCTCTGCTGTTGTTTGTTTTAGAAAAGGAGGAGTACATATTCCCACCAGTAGTCACAGAGATGCCTCTTTTTATTGATTTACCAAAAATGATTTATTTTTATATGAAGTTTAAATCAATTTAAATTACATTCATTTGGTGGCTTAGAGAACCATGGGAAGTCTTGACTTACGGAAGTTGGGCTTTCAGACTCTCCTCTGTTTGCCAGTTTTCTTTTTGTTTCTGTTCTCCCCCCACCGCCCCCACCTTTTTGTCCCCTGTCTGTCTCGGTCTACCTCTTTTTAGGGGCATAGGCAAGGAGCTGTGACGAGTGTTTTTAAAAATACTCTCATAAAAAAATACACCTTTGGTCAGGTGCGGTGGCTTACACCTATAATCCCAGCACTTTGAGAGGCTGAGGCAGATGGATCACCTGAGGTCAGGAGTTTGAGACCAGCCTGGCCAACATGGTGAAACCCGGTCTTTACTAAAAATACAAAAATTAGCTGGGCTTGGTGGTGTGCACCAGTAGTCCCAGCTACTCCGGAGGCTGAGGCAGGAGAATCAGTTGAACTCAGGAGGCAGAGGTTGCAGTGAGCTGAGATCATGACAGTGCACTCCAACCTGGGTGACAGAGCGAGACTGTCAAAAAAAAATACACGTTGAAAGCTGGTCACCTAAACTGTCTCAGAGATCTTTAAATACACTTTCAACTATACTAACTAATATAAATCATGGTAACATTTGTAAACACAAGTAAGGTTTTACTAAGTGCCTCGTGGACAACAGTCCTGCCTACATTCATCTCCTTTCGTCATGTGGATATTGTGTATTGAACCTAACCACCTCCTCTCACTCCCACCTCTCACTCCTCACTCTCACTCTCTCTTAGCATTTTACATACAATGTGTTGGTGGCACATTCACTTACAAGTTGCAGAATATATAGACGGCCTGACAATGGAACAAGACTAGGACCTATTTTGAGGGTTTGTGTGCTATCTCTTTAGAGATAATTAGTTCATATTTAATTATATGGCTAAGATATGCATCCTGTTAGGCGAGAAAATGATCATGAAAAAGTACTATGCGGGAATGTTATTAAATATATGTGCCTTTTTCCTTGTTGCACTCCTGAGAGCAAGATGGGTCACCAGCAGCTGTACTGGAGCCACTCATGACAACTGGGCCAGGGTTCTCACTCTTGTCTTGACTGTTCAAACCAGCACGGTCTCATCTGGAAATAAGGCCTCAACATAAGCCTCCAGTGTTTGCGTCAGAATGCGAAGGATTCAAGTTGGACTGAATGATCTTCCTTCTAAGGATTATCCAAGACATCTACCATGAAAAGCCATGATAGTCCTTTGTACATAAAATAAACATTTAAATATATATATATATGATACAGCCACATAATAGCTACAGTCAATATAATAGACCTAGAAAAAAATCTAGTGATTCAAGACTCCTATATTTAAAAGTTATTAAATGAAAAGATATATGTGTCCGTGAGAAGAAAGATTGAATATCATAAAGATGTCAGTTCTTCTAAAATTGCGGTAATTATTCAAGGTAATTCTAATTGAAATCTTAACAGGTTACTATTGGGAACTTGGATATTAATTTTAACATGTATTTGAAGATCAAAGTGGCAGAATATTGAAGAAGATCCTGGAAAGATGTGTCACTTATTTAGGAATTTTTTTTTTTGACACGGAGTTTTGCTTTTGTTGCCCATGCAATGGTGTGATCTCAGCTCACCGCAACCTCCCAGCTTCAAGCGATTCTCCTGCCTCAGCCTTCCAAGTAGCCAGGATTGCAGGCTTGTGCCACCATGCCTGGCTAATTTTGTATTTTTCATAGAGACAGGTTTCTCCATATTGGTCAGGCTGGTCTCGAACTCTGACCTGAGGTGATCCGCCTTCCTTGGCCTCCCAAAATTCTGGGATTACAGGCATGAGCCACCACGCCCGACTGATTTAGTAATTTAAAAAGACTCACATAGCAATGATATGGGGTGATATTGCATAGAGATAGATGCATTTACCAGCTTTAGATAGAAAGCCAAAGATTAGATCTAATTTTTGTTTAGAAATTTATAAATGAGAGAGGTGGGATTTCAGAGCAGCCAGAAAAAGATAGGCTGTTGAAAAATTTGTCATGGCAACTGGTTATCCACAAGAGAGAAAAAGGTTACTAAATGTAAAAGAAAAACCAGTAAGTCGTTTCCGAAGGTAAGAAAGGAAAGTATGATCTGGTTGTAAGGATGGATTTTTTTTTCTTTTTTTTTTGAAACGGAGTTTCGCTGTTGTTACCCAGACTGAAGTGCAATGGCGCGATCTCGGCTCACCGCAACCTCCACCTTCTGGGTTCAAGCAATTCTCCTGCCTCAGCCTCCCTAGTAGCTGGGACTACAGGCATGCACCACCATGCCCAGCTAATTTTTGTATTTTTAGTAGACACGGGGTTTCACCTTGTTGACCAGGATGGTCTCAATCTCTTGACCTCGTGATCCACACTCCTCGGCCTCCCAAAGTGCTGGGATTATAGGCGTGACCTACTGCGCCCGGCCAAGGATGGATTTCTTAAACAAGAAACAAAAGGCACAAAACATGAAGAAAAAGAGTGTTACCTTAGAGTTCATTAGAAGGGCATTTTCTTTAAAAAATACTTTTTAAAAGCCTTCTTTGTTCTTTCTTTACCTGGCAAGGAGCAAATATTTGTAAATGTCAATCTAAAGAAAAGGGTTGAAAAGTCTAACTCTACTAAAATCTGACCTAATCCTAGGTCAGTCATCAGAGTTCTTCGCTGCTAACTGTATGGGTTATACTTTCTCCTGTGTCTTCTGGGCATCCCAGAGTGGACACTAGAACCCTGAGTCTGGAGGTCCTAGGAGCTGCTACAGCAGAAGAGTCCCTGAAGGTGAAGGGAAAATGAACTGTTTATTTTCAGCAGTTGGTTGTTCTCTAACATTCTTGCTATTATTTACCAGTAAATAAAACCTGGAACAGGAATGCAGAGAAAGATCAACAACATAAATTAACCTGCCACCAGATGTTTTCCCAGGAAGAGAACTTTCTGGAATAATAAATATGTTATCCTCTAGCCCGAGAGAATCATCAGTGCAGAAAGCAATCCATCTGCAACTTGCACAAAATGTGCCTTCATTTGCTACATCTGTACCTTTGTTCAAATATGCAGTTTCTAGAGAGAAATCAATATAATTATACCTATTTCCATTACAAATACCATGGACAGACGAATTAGAGTATACCATGAAAAAGAAAAAAATCATCCCAGCAAAAAGAAAGTACCAGATTTGGTTGTTTTTCTCAGAACTGAGGGCAGGAATTCCAGCCACAACTTTGCTCTCTGGGGAGCCAGTGTGTGCCCTTTGTTTTTCCGCCTCAAACTTGACCACTTTTCAGCTCCAACAATCAAGTGCAAATGTTGGCAAAGTATAACTAGCCCATTGGCAAAAGTCACCTTCCTCGTGCTGCATAAAAAGTACTGCCTTTCCCAACACCCAGAAAGTAAAGCTGATGGGGACCTAGCATGGATAGGAAAGGAGTTGGGAAAAAGTACAACTTGCTGCTAGGTCATGGTTTAAAAATCCATGTTTCTCTCTATAGGAAATATAGGGATTACTATGATTCGTTACAGAGACAACTTTATATTGCATTTCTGCAAAACACTCTTAAAAATGTTAACATAGAAACGCCCTTGTCATTCTTCAATTTTTCCTTCTCGTTCCTAACTCAGAATAATAAAAGTGTTAAGGTCTTTTACTATGTTGTCTGTAGGTATAGAAAATCAATTGCAGTCGGGCGCCGTGGCTTAGGCCCGTAATCCCAGCACTTTGAGAGTCCAAGGCAGACAGATCACATGCGGTCAGGAGTTTGAGACCAGCCTGGCCAACATCGTGAAACCCCGGCTCTGCTAAGAATACAAACATTAGCTGGGCTTGGTGGCACTCGCCTGTAATCCCAGCTACTCCGGAGGCTGAAGCAGGAGAATCGCTTGAACCCAGGAGGTGGAGGTGGCAGTGTGTCCAGATTGCCCCTGCACTCTAGCCTGGGCTACAGAGTGAGACTGTCTCAAAACAAAACATTTTTTTTCCTAAACGCTTTTCAAAGAATGGTTTAAAACCGATGGCAACCCAGGATGAGTGAGAATTCCCACCCAGATTATGGTCTCTCAATTCCTTTTTCAAAGAGCAGGCAGGCTACTTGGAGACTTGTCAATTTATGGATCATAATAGATTTTAGAGGAACAAACAGCAATCGAATGCCATATTTGGATCTGTTGGGATCCCATTCAGACAAAATCACTACAAAAAATTTTTGAGACCAGGATTTTCTTTCTTTAACGACTAGGTATTGGATAATTTTAATTATTATAAATAATTTATAATAATTTAAGATAATTTATAAATTATTTAAAAAATTTTCTTAGGTGTAAAATCTTAGTGTATTTTCTTTATGTCCATATCTGTTAGGATATCTGTGAAAATATTCATGATGAACATATTTGGGGTTTTTTTAGACTCCCTCATCCGCCAGTGTGGCTGTGGATAATGAAAAGAGTGGGCAAGCTGTTGGTACAAAAAAAAGGTTAAAATAATAATAATGATAAAGCAGGCCAAATCAATGAACGTATTTCTTTTCTGGTCAACAGAGGGCTACGCTGAGAGGAATCGGCATGTACAGTAATGCTGGCGACCACCCTTAGAGAAGGGCAGGCAGCTTGGCGGGCTGGAGAGCAGCTCTGGCACAGGGAGGAGCTCTCGGGCCGCCCCCTCCTTCCGTCCCGCGAGTTGTGAAGCGCTGTCGCCATCTTGTGGCGATAAGGGGATAATGTAGCTAAAACTTTGCTTAGTTTTTTTTTTTTTTTTTTTTGAGACGGAGTTTCGAGTTTCGCTCTTGTTACCCAGGCTGGAGTGCAATGGCGAGATCTCGGCTCACCGCAACCTCCGCCTCCTGCGTTCAGGCAATTCTCCTGCCTCAGCCTCTTGAGTAGCTGGGATTACAGGCACGCGCCACCACGCCCAGCTAATTTTTTGTATTTTTAGTAGAGACGGGGTTTCACCATGTTGACCAGGATGGTCTCGATCTCTTGACCTCGTGATCCACCCGCCTCGGCCTCCCAAAGTGCTGGGATTACAGGCGTGAGCCACCGCACCCGGCAACTTTGCTTAGTTTTATGGTTTCGTTTAGGCCTTTCATTGCTATGGTCTAATAACTGCATATACAAAGAATACTATAAACCAGCCCATCTTGAACAGCCCCCAACCGCCCAGTTCCCTCATCTGCTTGGCAAATATTCTCTTTTTGACCAAACTCTAGGCAGCTTCTTCTGAGCCCTTTTCTGGACTAGGCGGCCATCTTGGCCTATGACGACCCGAACAAACCCAAACATAGTTCCTGATGGCCCCGGTCTCCTTGAGCACCTGCCTGACAAAACTCAACTGATGCCGCCAAAAGAATTTACCGTTTGTTTCAGTCAACATCTGAAGATGGGTCCCTCGTCTCCCAGGCTCTGCAGTAGGTGTGGAGCCTGTTCTAGACGTGGGCCAGTTATGAAACCCAGATGGTTCCCCACTGTCAGTGATGACTAAATAAAATCTGTTTTTGTCATTTAAACTAAAGCCTGGCTGTGTCTTATCTTTGATATACCGCAATGAAGCACTTTTATAGGCCGGGCGCGGTGGCTCAAGCCTGTAATCCCAGCACTTTGGGAGGCCGAGGCGGGTGGATCACGAGGTCAACAGATCGAGACTATCCTGGTCAACATGATGAATTCTCTACTAAAAATTACAAAAAATTAGCTGGGCACGGTGGCGCGTGCCTGTAGTCACAACTACTCGGGAGGCTGAGGCAGGAGAATTGCCTGAACCCAGGAGGCGGAGGTTGCGGTGAGCCGAGATCGCGCCATTGCACTCCAGCCTGGGTAACAAGAGCGAAACTCCGTCTCAAAAAAAAAAAAGCAGCACTTTTATTCGTTTCCTGTGTACGCGCCTGGAATATCTTTTTAGAAACACAAATAAATGTGTCCCCTTTCGTTCAGATTTGCCTCTTTTAATTCAAATGGCTGATGGTCACCTGTTCTTCACAGGTTCTGTCTCTTGCTTTTCTCATTAACTACCTGTCTTTCCTATTGCAGGTGGAATGGCTGAAACTTCTCAGTGGGCGCACCCACACTAGTGACCTGAGGAGAAAAACCCTAACCCCGCAATGGCTGCATCTTCTCTGAGGATGATGCAGAGAAGGCATCATTTGAAATGAAGGGCGGTGTGTGGATTTCTCCGCGAAGGTATCCAGAAACAGCCCTGTCAGAGCTGCTGTGGGGCGGCTGAACTGCTATTCTTTTTCTAGGGTGGGGTCCCCCACTCTTTGTAAGGAAGGATATTGGGGTCCTAACACCGGGAACCATCTTGCCCATGAGGCCTCCTTTTCATTGAGCACCCCATCTGTGTTTCCTGTTCCAATTCACACCTATTTTTTGGTCATAATATATATCAAGATCTGAAATGCTATTTTACTTTTTTTTTGAGACGGAGTTTCGCTCTTGTTACCCAGGCTGGAGTGCAATGGCGCGATCTCGGCGGCAACCTCCGCCTCCTGGGTTCAGGCAATTCTCCTGCCTCAGCCTCCTGAGTAGCTGGGATTACAGGCACGCGCCACCATGCCCAGCTAATTTTTTGTATTTATAGTACAGACGGGGTTTCTCCATATTGACCAAGATGGTCTCGATCTCTTGACCCCGTGATCCACCCGCCTCGGCCTCCCAAAGTTGCTGGGATTACAGGCGTGAGCCACCGCGCCCGGCCAAATGCTATTTTACTTCTTCATTGGCTTCCTATTATTACTATGCAACCCTCCACGCTAAATTTTTTTTGGCACTGGATTTGAGGGTTGTGGGATAGGTTGTATTTTGATCACTTGTATTTCTTAGCTTCTAGAACAGTGCCCAGCAAAGTACATCTATGAATAAATGAATGAAGTCATATTCCTCTGTTCCGCTGTTGCCAACTGCAAGATCCGGAGGGAACTTTCTTTACTTTCCTTAGGGTATGATCCAGAAGATGGAAAACAGATTCTCATTCTCTCTGATCCTTTTCTGTGTGTTCCTTCTAGCTGAATTCCCAGTTTTTGCTCCTGGAAAAAAAAAAAAAAAAAACTAATTCAGTTTTGTTAAAAATTCTTTTTACCTGAATTTTTTTTTTGTAATGACTATTAGCATATACAGTGTCTTCTTTTCGTATACCAAAAAGGCAGTTGATACAGTGCATGACTTGAAAATATACTTGCCCTCTCTAAGGCTCAATCTAAGGCTCAAACTCAGGACTGTATTATTTGGAAAGCCCTGTAGCCTGGTTGGGTTGTGGCTCCCAGGAAATGCCTAATTTCCCTTCTTTGAGAGCGCTGGTTTCTGGGTTTCTGTTTCTCCCAGAAGAGAAACACTGGCTCATAAGAATTGATGTGTCATGAAGGTTTCCTTTTTCACCCCTGACCTTGGAAGGACCCAACCCTTGAGGGTTGTGCTGTCAACACCATTCCTTGCTCACCCCCTCTTTTGCTCTAATTATTTCTGCCTTCCCGCCTCCAGAAATTTCAGTTCCTCTTTCACCAGCCCTTGTTTCCTCTCTGGACCTAGTACCGAGTAGGCGACGTACAACTGAAAGGATGGATGCTGGCTAACTTGTCTCTAGTCTAGATGTCCCCTTATTTTAAATCTGCCTGTGCATCCACATGGCCTGAGACACTCTTGAAAATACCACCAAAAGGACATCATAAAAAATCACCGCCATCATCTTTTGAGGGCTATGTATTAGGAGACATAAAATGTGAGTCATTTACATTGTTTTATTTAATCCAACTTAGTTTCTTCCACAAACATTATTATCTTCATTTTAGAGATGGAGCTGAGGCTCAGAGGAGAAAACTTCCTTAAGTCATAACAGTGATAAGTAGCACCGCCAGTACTAGAAAGCAGAGTAGTTTTGATTCTGAAATGTGTGCTCCTCCCTATCAGCTCATGTTCTCTCCACATTCCTTCTCTGCGTGTACCCAACAGTTCACCTGACGCGTATTTACAGATTTGTGCCTTTTATCCATTAGACACACATCCCCCACCTCCAGTGACTTGACTGGGCACTGTTTCCAGACCTTCCCAGGCCAAGTCCTGCCTGCCCCGGGGACTCCTGTGAACCCCCATCGCCGGCGCCCAGCTGCAGCTTCCGCCTCTCCTCCGCTCAGGTCCTGAACCCAGGAGCTCATGAGTGCGCAGCCCCCGGCTCCTGGCCCCGGGGCTCCTGGAGGCTCACTGTGCTCTTCCGTGCAGGCTGCTGCGTTTTAAAGTGCCCATCGACCGTGAAAATGTGGTATGTACACACCGTGAGTACCACTCAGCTGGAGGCCGTTATTCCAACTGAAGCAACTCGGGAATGGAAAACCCAACACCGAATGCCCTCACTCATAAGTCAAGTGAAGCTATGGGGATGCAGAGGCATGAGTGACGTAATGGACACTGTGGACAGTGTCCACTGCTCCTGTGACAGGGGCACCAAAATCTCAGAAATCACCACTGAAGAACTTCCTATAACCAAAACCCACCTGTACCCCCAAAACTATTCAGATTTAAAAAAAAAAACAGTGTGGCGATTCCTCAAGGACCTAGAAATAGAAATTCCATTTGACCCAGCAATCCCATTACTGGGTATATATCCAAAGGACTATAAATTGTTCTACTATAAGGAAATATACACACGAATGTTCATTGCAGCACTGTTTACAATAGCAAAGACCTGGAACCAACCCGAATGCCCATCGATGATAGACTGGACAGGGAAAATGTGGCACATATACACCATGGAATATTATGCAGCAATCAAAAACGATGAGTTTGTGTCCTTTGTAGGGACATGGATGAACCTGGAGAACATCATTCTCAGCAAACTGACACAAGAACAGAAAATGAAATACCGCATGTTCTCACTCATAGGCAGGTGATGAACAATGAGAACACATGGACACAGGGAGGGGAGCACTACACACTGGTGTCTATTGGGGGGAATAGGGGAGGGACAGCGTGGGGGTAGGAGCTGGGGAGGGATAGCATGGGGAGAAATGCCAGATGTGGGTGAAGGGGAGGAAGGCAGCAAATCACACTGCCACGTGTGTACCTATGCAACTATCTTGCATGTTCTGCACATGTACCCCAAAACCTAAAATGCAATAAAAAAAATAATTTTAAAAAAAGCACATAACGTTTGGAGGAAATGCTGTATCACATGTTTTCGCTGTGGACTTTGGAGGCTGAAGGAACACGGCCTAGTGTCTGGGGCTTGTTTGAAAAGTTTCTGGTTTCTCCACTTCCAGGCTCACCATCTTCCAGGCTTCCTGATAGATAAATTTACTTCAGAGCTTAGTAACTCCTCTGCTCAGTTTTTCAAAAGAGCTTCTATCCTTTTAATCTGGATTTTTAAACCATTACTTGTTGCTATATACGTTTTTCTCAGCTAAGTTTTTTTTTTTTTTTTTTTTTTTGAGACGGAGTTTCGCTCTTGTTACCCAGGCTGGAGTGCAATGGCACGATCTCGGCTCACCGCAACCTCCGCCTCCTGGGTTCAGGCAATTCTCCTGCCTCAGCCTCCTGAGTAGCTGGGATTACAGCAGCTATGTTTTAAGAAATTATTTCTATCTAGAATTTATGTTTCACATCCAGTTACAGGTTCTTCTCCTTTCTAATAGAGAACTTCCTATTTCCATGCCTGGGACCCCTACTCCCTATTCTGTCCTCAGTTTCCTTCTCTAATGTCCGTTCTTGATCTTTCTGATCTGTTGTAGACTCACAGCTCTTTTCGCCTGTTTTGCGTGTTTGCTCTTCTACCATGAACTTTGTGTGGCTTTTTTGGAAACTTTGTGTGGAACGTTTCCATCTCCTCAAGAATAGTAAGTATCATTTTGTGACCTCACAATTGTCAACAGGAGTAAACTTCAGTCTGTTGATTTGTTCTGAAAAGAGTGGAAGAATCTGGTTCTTTTTATTTTCTTTTGAGAGAGCCTTGTTCCATCACCCAGGCTGTAATGCAGTGGCACAATCTTGACTCACTGTAACCTCCGCCTCCTTGGTTTCAAGCAATTCTCCTGCCTCAGCCTTCTGAGAGCTGGGATTATAGGCGCACACTACCACACCCGACTAATTTTTTTGTTTGTTTGTTTTTAGACGGAGTTTTCACTCTTGTTACCCAGGCTGGAGTGCAATGGCGCAATCTTGGCTCACGGCAACCTCCACCTCCTGGGTTCAGGCAATTCTCCTGCCTCAGCCTCCTGAGTAGCTGGGATTACAGGCACGCGCCACCATGCCCAGCTAATTTTTTTATTTTTAGTAGAGACGGGGTTTCACCATGTTGACCAGGATGGTCTCGATCTCTTGACCTCGTGATCCACCCACCTCGGCCTCCCAAAGTGCTGGGATTACAGGCGTGAGCCACTGTGCCCGGCCCTCATTTTTGTATTTTTAGTAGAGATGGGGTTTCACCATGTTGGCCAGGCTTGGTCTCCAACTCCTGACCTTAAGTGATCCACCTGCCTGGGCCTCCCAAAGTGCTGGAATTACAAGTGTGAGCCACCATGCCTGGTCAGAGCTGGTTCTTTTTCTTTAGAGCAACTTTTTATAGATTTCAAGGTAGAAAACAGATAATTTCTTTGTGACTTGCAATTTCTATAGTTGGCAGCCTCCTCTGCTCAGGCCTGGACAATGTATGGTTCCTGCCCTCCCTGCCCCCCAGAAATGGGATTTTGATCTGTCACCCAGACTGGAGTGCAGTGGCATGGTCATCGTTCACTGCAGCCTCAAAACTCCTGGGCTCAAGCCATCCTACCTCAGCCTCCCAAGTAGCTAGAACTTCAGGTGTGTGCTAGTACAATAATTTATTTATTTTCTTAGAGATGAAGTCTCACTGTGTTGCCTAGGCTAATCTCAAATTCCTGGCCTGAACTGCTCCTCCTGCTTAGGTCTCCTGAGTTGCTGGGATTGCAGTCAGGTCTTGTTTGAAGGAAATTTGTCTTAATATGTTTCCTGCTCAAAACACAATGTGACTCGTCATTTTCAAATTCTAAAACGCTTCCGGTATATCTTAAAATGTCTATACTATAACATCAAATAAATTAACTTTTATGACGGAATTGTTGCTTTGTCATTAAACTTCCTTCTCTGGTAAGCAAAAGATCCTGGGTTCACAGAATTTTGTTTTTGCAATGTGTGGTCTTCCCTGATACTCATTTCTTTTGTGTTTTCTTGACAAAACTTTCACACCTGACCTACAAGCATTTGGATACTTGGGAGAAGCTATAGTGGTATACCTTCTGTTTCCTAAGAGTCTGTAAGACTAGTAATAGGGCAAGTCAATAGCTTTTACATTGTGTTTACGCTTTTCAGCAAAATTGGATTTAAATATATTTAAATATTTATATTTACAAACTTAAAAAGTCAATTTTATGTAAAAAAGTTATATGGGAGATGATCAGATGAATATACATATATTTTCTTTTTGAGACAGGGTCTGGCTGTCTTGTTCAGGCTGGAGTGCAGTAGCACATTCTTGGTCATGGAACCTCTGCCTCCCAGGCTCAAGCAGTCCTCCCACCTCAGCCTCCCAAGTATCTGGGACTACACCTAACCCTTTTTTTTTTTTTTTTTTTTTTGTTTTTTGGTAGAGACAGGGTTTTGCCATGTTGCTGAGGCTGGTTTTGAACTTCTGGACTCAGGTGATCTGCCCACCTCAGCCTCCCAAATGCTGGGATTACCAACGTGAGCCACCATGCCTGGAATACACTAATATATTTTAATTTACTTTTAAATTGATCATGTTACAAAGTCAGTACTTTAAAATTTATAGATTCGAATTCTAAAATTGTTTTACTGAGATCAAATTTATACACACGTGGTTAAATATTTGGTTGACTCACCATGTTCTGTAAGTGATGATGTCATCTTATGAGGAT